ATTCCTGCCTGCCCTCATGGATACTCAGCCAAGATGGGGGAGGGGTGTGTTGAAGGGTGTGGGGAGGCAGAGGGGGTGGGCTGGACAGGTCATTCTGGAGCCGCCAGGCAGTGTAACAGGCCAGGCAGGCCCAGCTCTTTCTGGGCTGTGTGGAGCTGCCAAGTTGGTGTTTGGGGTCAGAGCCAGCTTTCCCAGTCGCCACACTCCCCTCCCAGGGTTTTGCTGGAAAGACACAGCTCTAGGTGAGGGTGCATAGTTCCCTGGTGCAGCCCAAGGCCCATGAAGGGTCGGCAAAGTGGCCTGTGTGCTGCGCCCCTACCCCCGGGCTCCACAGTGACCCAGGTGGTGCTGAGCCCAGCCTTTCCCCAGCCCAACTCAAGCATCAAGGATGAGCCTGGCCCAGGCTTCCAGGGCTCCTCATATCCCAGCTTCCTGGGGACATTTAGCAAGCTGCTTCCCTTCTGCACACCGGAATCTCTTCAGGTAATCTCTTCAGAATCTCTTCAGGCCTTGCTCCCTGCACAAAGAACAAACCTTGAGAAGGATAAGATATATCCCTGCTGCCTAGTGAGAAGATGCCTCCCCAGTTTGAAGGGGGGGCTTTAGATGCTGCGGCCCCGTGGATGGTCTAGCCTCATCCCTGGGGCCCCAGCCCTGTTCAGGGGCAAGCTCCAGCACCCACTCCAGGCCTCCGTGTCTGGGGGCCCTCGGGACTCCCTCAACAGGACAAACCCTTCCTCTACTTTGTCTTGCAAAGAGATGTGAGGCCTGGGTGGAGGTTGGAGAAGGACCTGGAGGGCTCCCTGCATCAGGCTGGAGCAGAGGGGACCAGGGAACCACGCTCTGGGCCCAGCTACCTTCCCTCCTTGCACACGGGCTGGGATGGAGCTAGAGGGAGCCAGTGGGAGACAAATGGACACCCAGTGTGGCCTCAGAATTCTTGCTGGGTATCTTAAGTCTCTGCTTGCGGCCCCAACACCAATCTCTGGCAGAGGATCTGTAGTTCCTGGGATGCTGGGAAAACATCCTCCACTGGGGGGACAGTCTGGCCTTCTCCTGCCACAGTGGAAGCTGGGCACCTCTTGGACACGGCCTCTTTCTCTTCCACTGAGGCTCCTACTCCACTGGTCTTAACAGGGGTATATCAGAGAAGGGCAAGCCCAGGGAGGGGAGACAGTACCCCCATTCAGCCAGAAACACGGCAGCTTGGCGTGGCAAGTGCCCAGGTCTGGGACACTGGCTCTCTCAGACTCATTCTACCTCCAATTGTCTGGGACATCACCACAGACCCTTCTGAATCTATTTAGGAGCCTGGCGGTGGGTTCTTAGCTCAGGGCAACCCACTCCCAGAGCCCTAGAGAAGAAGGTATTCCCTTATCCTGTGACTCTGCCCAGCAGAAATGGTGAGGCCCTTGGCCCATGAGCAACAGGTGGAAGGCAGGCAGGAAGCCACGGGTGGGCAGGGGTCAGTATATTTTGAGGGGCTCACTTCTCCAGCACTCCCATCAATGCCCACCCCATTTGCCCTGGGGGTAGTCATGTCATCCCCGTTAGGATGTGAAAGATGCAGGGAGAGACCAGGGACATGTTCTATAAGGTTTCATTAGTTGTAAATGAAAAAAAAAAGGCGGGGGGTTCACTGACTAATGGAATTGGGAAACACTGGATCAGACAAAGTTAAACAGACTGCTTAGCTGTAGGAGTTCTTGGAGCCTTTAGTTCTCTAAGAGGAGAGGCCAAGCACAGCATTTCCTGAGGGCAATGAACTGGAACTTTTTTGTTTTTCCATCTCTTTGGTCCCATGGTCCCTGGGTCACAAGTGGGAAAAGGCTGCTTCAGGCTTCTTGGCAGCTATTCCACTGGGAGGAGGGCAACAGGAATCCTGTATGGAAGAGGAGCCTCTAAGTGTGTGTGTGTTGGGGGCGGGGGGGTGGCGGGCAGGGGTCTCCTGGCCTCCCATGAGACCTCCCCAGAGCACTCTTGCCCAGAAACCTGAGACTTTGCTGCTCCCTCCAGCAACAATAGAATGGGGGAGGGGGAGGAGGCCAGGTGGTCTGAGGCTGTGAGGTGCCCCAAAAGGTCAGGGGGTGGAGGGAGTAGGGTAGCTCTGAACATCTCCATCTCCCCTCTCTCCTTCCTCTGCCCCCTTCCCTGCTCCAGCCCCCATTCCATGGTCTCTACCCAGGGGTTGAAGGGTTTTCACTGCTCCTATCTGGCTGGTGCCTCTACTCCCTCTCTCCTAAGGCGGTGGCACCAGCAATGGGCTGTATTTCTCAAGGTGTCTCTGCTGCTCTAACCAGACTCACCAAGACTCAGCACCCAAGGAGCAGCTTCCTCCCCCTGAGACCTCCATGGTCTTTCCTTCTCAGCCTCTGGCAGCTCCCCAGGGACATCTTTGTCAGGTTTCCTCCTGAGAGGCTCCTTAAAGATCTGGGAGCCAGTCTGCTGTGGCTCCAGGCCCCAGGGCCCGGGTGGGGCTGTCCTTCTGGCTGTTAACTCTTACCCCCTTGGTTCCAGGCCCCAGGGCTCTGCCTACAGTCCCGCTGTGGCCACCTCTCCAGCACCTGCCGCCCATACATACAGCGAGGCCCCAGCTGCCCCTGCACCCAAGCCCCGGGTTGTCACCACTGCCAGCATCCGGCCTTCTGTCTACCAGCCAGGTGAGAGGCAGAGTGGGAAGGGAGGCTGTCTAGGCTGGGCGTGGGCTCCAGGGGTCAGCTCCAAAGCCACGTCCCCCTGAAGGATGGTGGTTATAGAGGTGCTGCTAATGAGGGTTCAGCCTTCCTTCCTACAACTGTGGGCCAGAATCCTATGGAAGCTGCCTCTGGCGCTGGGGAGACAGGTGGCCAGTGCCAGGCAGGGATGGGGCCTCCCAGCTCTTGGGAAGAGGACATTCCTGCCTGGGGATTTCCAGGCTCCAGGTGAGGAAGAGAGGGTTAGAGGGGAGGGGCTTGTTCCTCCAGGAGTTTGGATCTGGCTCAAGGCAGAGGATAGGCAGCTGTAACAAAAATGCCACGGGCTTTGAACAGACCTACTGCATAATGTGATGCTGGGCAAACTGCTCACCTATCTGGTCTTTGGTTTCTTCAGCTGGGACAGGCTAACTAGAGGCATGGAGAGCACATGTGACAGGCGGGAGAGTGGCCCACACAGGGTCTCGCGGTGGCTGGCCTCACTGGCTGTCTGTTCCATCGCTCTGGTCCCCATTCTCATCACTGCGGGGACAAGGGCTCAGCCTGTGTCTTCCGTTTTCCTAGGCAAAGTTGGGCCTCTCCCCCAGAGCTCCAGGGCAGTTCTCGGGCTGGCTTAGACCCCTCCTTCCCCTGCATGCCCCTGCTCAGTGAACTTAAATGAACATAAGACAGGGACTGAGGCAGGAAGCACCTTGCTTGGGGGAGCTGACTTGATGTGTAGGGCAGAGGAGCCACAATCAGCCCTCTGTTTTATAAAATATACTCTGACATTAGTGCTGAGCGTGTAGACGTGGCTTTAGCATCAGACTCCGGTGCCAGGCTCCGCTCTGCTCTCTAAGGCAAAGTAGTTCATCTCCCAGGCCTGTATCTCCTCGCTTAAAATATAGGCATATTATGTACACCTGGTGCTCTGGGGATGAAATGAAGCACCCAGCACAGTGCCTGGCACACAGGAGGTGCCCTTCTCTGTCTCTTCAGAAGCAAGAACACAAAGTTCTGAGGTTAAAAGTCCACAGGATTAGGAAGCAATTTGCAGCGGGCTGCTGTGGTGAAAAATCTCGGATGGAGGTAGAGGAGGCAGCTGCTCTGCGGAGATGGGGGGCACAGGAGGTAGGGTGATAAGAAGTTGGGAGGAGCAGCGGCGTATGGAGGGGGCGCAGGGAGAGTATTTCCGCCCGGGTGCGGGCTCCGCTCCCAGGCAGGTCCTTCTGGGCATCTTCCGGGGCGGGCCCCGGGTTTCGGCGCCCCCGCCCCAGCCGCCGGCTCTCCTCTGCAGGCCCGCCAGGGGGCGGCACGGCTCCGGGGGCGCGCACCGCCGGCCCCCCCCTCTCCAACCCCGCCGGCGTCTGTCTCCTCCTCCTTCCGGCACTGGAGCCTGGGGCTGGGCGAGACGTGCTGGAGCCCTGGAGCTGCAGGCCGCCGCTGAGTTCCCAGGCCTTGCAGACGTTAACTCATTCCTGCCCGGAGGGAAGGAGGCCACCGGGCGGCGCGCGCCTGAGTCGGCCTGCCTCTGCCCCCTCTCCTGAGGGTGGGGTCCCAGGGAGGCTGGCAGGTGGTGTGGGGAGAAACGAGGATCGTGGACCCGGGCCCCTCCCCTCCTCTCCACTGCCGACCCCGGGCCCGGGGAGAGCGGGGAGCCCGCGTGCCGTCCGGGCTGCAGCTCCCCGCGAGGGCTCCTCCGGGTCCAGGGTGGAGTTCGCAGCCCAGATCTTATCGCCTGCGCCGAGGCTGGGTGGCCGCTCTCCGGAGCACCTGGGGCCCGGGAGAGGGCCGTGGGCAGAGGGCCCCCCACTTTCACCCCGACCCCCACCCCCACGGGGGCTGTGCGCTCGCCGGAGCCGGGCCCGACCTGGAGTGAGTCAGAAATCACCTTGTTTAATTACGCATTCCCGAGCCAACGAGTGCGATAGGGGCTTTTGAACTTGCTAATTAGAGATGAAATATCACCTTCTAATTTGGACGGGCTTTATTCCGTCAAGCAGAAATAGCAACAGCCCAGGGCTCGCAGATGGGATATCAAGTCTCTCTCCTGGCACGTCGGGGATGGTGGGGCCAGCCAGGCTGAAGGGCGCAGAGGGAAGGGAACTGGGAAGCAGCAGCTCTTCACCGGGGACCTGATGGCTGAGGGAAGCTGCCGGCCTGCGCCTCGAAGAAGGGAAGGGCCCTAGCTCTGGGAGGGTGTAGTCTTGGGCAAGGAAGCAGCCCACCCGGGCCCAGATGCCGGGTGCCTCTGACCTGCTGAGACCTTCGTGTGGTGGGGATTTAGAAAAGGGGGGTGGATCATGGAGTCTGGAAGGCCTTCCGAGGAGGGAAGAGAATGGCTGCCAGGCAAAGGGAATAGGGTTAGTGTTGCTGGAGGGAAGCTGGAAGTGGGCAAGGGCCCGATTTGGAAGGGGCATGCTAAACCTTGTTTTGCTGCCTAGGGAGTGGTTAAGCAGAGAATCTGGAGTTGAGACCTGCTGCCTGAGTGCCAGTTTCAGCTCGGTGTTTCTTAAATTCTCCAAGCCTCAACTCCTCTTCTGTAAAATAGACTTGCAAGTACTATCTGCCTCATTGGATTGCAGCGAGTATTACATGAAATAGTGCACATAAAGGCCCTGGCATGTGGAAGCAGTCAGTACTTGGTAACCGTTGTTCTGATTAGGGCAGCACTGTCTAATAACGATACATTTTCTAGTAGCCACACTTTTTAAAAGGAAGCAGGTGAAATTAATTTTAATATATTTTATTTAACTCAGTATATTAAAAATATTTCAATGAACAATCAATATAAGATTATTAGTGAGATATTTTACTTTCTTTTCTTGTACTGTCTTTAAGAATTGGTGTGTATTTTATATTTATAGCATGTTTCAGTTTGGACTAGCCGCATTTCAAGTGCTTAATGGCCACATAGGGCTATGTATTGGATAACACAGGATTAGGGCTTTCATTCTTAATCCCTTTTAGCAGAGATCCCCCCCCCTCCCACTTTACAAAAAAAAAAAAAGGAAATAAGATCTTGCTCAGAACCCCATTATTCAGAGAGGGCTGAAGCTGCTCTAGCATTTTGAGACCCTCTGTTCCAGGCACTTGGGAGCTATGCAAGCTTGTTAGGGAGGGTGACAACACCTCAGATATGGGCTTCACAGGTTTACTAGTGCATGCAACATGTCACTCCAGTAGGTCCCCACCCTGTGAGGCAGGCAGGGATGTCATACCTACCACCACTGACGATTAGACTCAGTTCCAGGTTACTGACTTCAGGGGTGCCACATCTCCCACCGCCTATATCCCACAGTCTCCCTGGGCTGGGATCCCTCAGGTGACCATCAAGCTGTGAGATGAGCTGACAGTTCATCTGGACCATGAGCCCCAGGAGTCACTCTCCTCACCATCTTCACTAGCATTTAATGACACATACACAGTGCCAGGTACAAGGCAAAGCCTTTATAGTTCTTATCTCCCATCATCCTTATAACAATGCTGTGAGGTACTAAGAATTATTACAGCCATTTTTAGACGAGGAAATTTGGGCCTAGAGACGTTAAGGAACTTGCCAAAGGACACACAGCCCGGATGTTGTAGAGCTGGGACCTGAACCCAGGGCTCTTGATGGCTGTGCTACATGCCAGACCATGCAGCCTCCTCCAGGTTGATAGGTACTCGGGTGCATAACGTGGTGCACCCAATCTTCTGGAACTTGGACTTCTGTTTTTTACAGAGGCAGCTTGGGGTGATAGAAAGAATGGTTTTGGAAATTCACTCTGCCACTTACTAACTCTGTCTGAGCCTCAGTGACCTCAACTGTAAAAGGGATTAACCCAGATGACCTGTTACGTGCCTAGCCCACCCTCTTAGTAAGTGGGAAGATTTCCTTATGGAGAAAGTTTTACCTTTGGAAGCCAGCGTCACTCCCAGGATGGCTCTAGGGCAGGGCCCTTCTGCTTTCAATAACACAGGCCTGGTCCCTATCCGTTCCCAGCACGGGGGTTTCCCTGTCACCCACCTCTGAAGTGGGTGACATATGGGAGTAGAAGGTATGGGGTTGGAGCAGCAGGGCACAGGCCACCTAAGGTAATCTAGGGGAACCAGTGGGGGAGACACCAAAGGCCAGGCCGGAAACTTTAGCCCTGAGAATGTCCTTCCTTTCCAGGCTGGAGCCTGTTGGGGGCTGCCTCAGCATCTATCAGCACAGTCCATTCACCAGGCCAGACTCAGGAATGGGGAGGGAGGCTGCCCTGACCCACTTCCTGGGGTAGGGGGAATGAGGCCTCTTTTCAGAGGAACAGACTGTAAGCTGAGGTGAGGCTTCTGGAACCTCCCTCCCTAGAAGGGGAAGCTGGTGAGACCATGTGTGCCGGACACAGCTGGGTCTGCCCCAGCTGGCTTTACAATGGGAGGCAGCAAAACTTAGAAACCTGGGTTTTGAGGGCCCAGGCCTCGGAGGGCTTTGGGTGAGCGGCTGCTATGCTCCTTTGTGTTGCCGCCCTAAATCAGTTTCCACCAAAGTGATGAGGGGGAGCATGTGTCCCCCAGAAGCAGCCACAGGCTGAGGGAGCAGCTACACCTAGGCTCTGTCACCCCAGCATCTCTGCCCAGCTTCCCTCCGAATACTGCCTTCAAGACCCACCACCCAAGTGAAACCAAAATGGAATTTCCCCCCAGTACAAATCAAGCCAAGCTGTTTTTCAAGAAAACGATTGTAGCTAAACCTGAAACCTGAACCTGAAAACCTAACTGTCCCGTCATCTGCTTTGTCCCAAAGGCTGGACTAGGTCGAGGTTCAGCAAATGCTTGCGATTGAGGCATTTCAAATGTCAAATCACTGGTCAGAGCGCAAAGGCATCTTCCAGTCAAGGCCAAGCTGACCCACTCCCACCCTCTTCCTGGCCCAGGGGATCCAGATATGAGCCTGGCCCGGCCACCCCTGCCCCCGTGCCTGTCTCCTGCAGGCCTCTGGCAGCCAAGGCCTGGCAGAGCCGCACCCCGCACGGCTGCAGATATTTATAGCCCTGTCCCTTCCCAGCCCTGTCCAAGCTCCCGAGGGCTGTGCTCCGACGGCTGTTTATCTCCCTTGGCTCCCTGCTGCAACTTCAAATCGAGGCCATCAAGAAGTTCAGGGACGCGTCTCCTGTAAAAACTGGCATTGTGCTGCTCTAATATTAAAGTTGTCTTTTCCAGTTCTCTGGCTGGGGGCGGGGGAAGCTGGGAGAAATGAATTCCTGACACATTTTTCTTTGGGTATTTTTGGCTTGCAGTGCCTGCATCTACCTACAGCCCATCCCCAGGGGCCAATTACAGTCCAACCCCGTACACCCCCTCCCCTGCCCCCGCCTACACCCCTTCCCCTGCCCCCGCCTACTCCCCCTCCCCAGCACCAGCCTATACCCCCTCGCCAGCCCCAAGCTATAATCCTGCACCCTACAGCGGGGGCCCTGCGGAGTCTGCCAGCCGTCCCCCATGGGTGACAGACGACAGCTTCTCTCAGAAGTTTGCCCCTGGCAAGAGCACCACCACGGTCAGCAAGCAAGGCCTGCCCCGAGGGGGCCCTGCGTACAACGCACCACCGGCTCCGCAGGTGTCCCCCCTTGCCAGGGGTACCGTCCAGAGGGCGGAGCGCTTCCCAGCCAGCAGCAGGACTCCACTCTGTGGCCACTGCAACAGCATCATCCGGTAAGGGCCAGCTGTGCCCCTGTGCTGGGGTGCTGGGACGAGTGGGGGACGGGAGGGCAGATGTAGGGAGAAGGCTGCATGCAGGACAGCCTCAGGTCCCTCTGGCTTGCCATCTGGTCTGACCCTCTCTGAGCTTTAGCTTCCATACCTGTGTGATACCCACTTCCCTGGGGAGTTGGGAGGATTCCACGAGGTGAGTGGGTGAAGCTCCCAGCATGGTGCCTGTGCCAGCACCGCCCCCTTGGGCTAAGGCTGGGTTCTGGGAATTGCAGGTCTGGATGGTAGATTTACTGGGCCTGTTGCAAGCTGGCTGACAGTGCTAGTTTTGACCCAGCTTTCCTTCCTTTCGAGGTACTCCTGGGTCTGTCCACAGACAAGCCCATGCTGCTCAGGGCTTTGGTGGGCATCTGCCACACTAAAAGGAAAACAAGTCATTTCATGCTTAGAGGCCAAGGATCATGGGTGGTACTTGTTTGAATATAGTATGTTTATAGTATGTGCATATGTGTGTTGGGGGTGGGCTTGTGTATATGAAAAATACACTTCTATTTAAAAATAAAGTATCATTAGAAAAAATATACTCATTAGAGAAGAATTAGAAAATTCAGAAAAGTAAAAATTAGAACATAAAGCGTTTCTTCAGTCCCACTGTCTGACTACTAATCTGGAGCCAGATTTGTGTCCTGGGTCTACCATACTAGCCCTATAGCCTTGAACAACTTACTTAACATCCCTGTACCTCAGTTTCCTTATCTGAAAATGGGTATCGTAATAGTACCTGCTTCATAGGATTGTTGTGAGAATTAAACACGTTAAATAATGGAAATTTCTTCTTGAATGGTACCTAGCACAGAGTAAGCACTTAATAAATGATAGCCATTAGCACCGTCATCATTGCTCTTCTTACTACAATTATCAGTAGTCAACCTAGTGGATATTCCATAATATACTTACCCAGTCCCCTGCTAGTGGATGTTCGAGTTGCTTCCCCATCTCTGTTCGTTGCAAGTGATGAAACAACATCTTTTTGCATGGAGCTTTATCTGAATTTCCTGTTATTTCATTAGAACAGTCACAGAAGTTATAGCGTTATAGGGTCAAAGTGTGAATATTGTTGAGCGTTTTGAAATATCTGGTCTTAAGCTTTGGGGGCTGCCTTAGAGGAGGTACTATTCTCTGCTTCCCCAGGGGCCCCTTTCTGGTAGCCATGGGCCGCTCCTGGCACCCAGAAGAGTTCAACTGTGCCTACTGCAAGACCTCCCTGGCAGACGTGTGCTTTGTGGAGGAGCAGAACAACGTTTACTGTGAGCGGTGTTATGAGCAGTTCTTTGCCCCGGTCTGTGCCAAGTGCAACACCAAAATCATGGGGGTAAGTGGGCCGCATTCCTCTCCTCTGACCCTTGTCTCTTTTCCAACCAATCTCTCCTCCTCCGCAAGGTTGTGGGGTCCTATTTGGAAGCCAAGAAGTTGCTGTGCTAACAGAGCAAGAACAACTCCATTTCTATCCTAGAAGGGAGTTGGTTTGCCACCAATGAACTAGGGAGTAAATGAACTTCAAGCAAGAGATCCGTGGGCCACATCCCTGGCCACACAGCTTGAAGTGGTGGCAGAGCTTCTGCAAAGCAAGTTACTGCTTCATAGCCTGACCTCACCGTGCACCTGCTTGTGGCTTTGACCCTCGATGCCCCTTTGGTAAAATGGCGGTGACACGTAGTATTTCCCTCCCGGGTTGGGTGGGAGGGTGAAGCATCACAGCTGATGGAAGCACACACAGAACCTGGCACCCAGCAAGTGCTGCACGAGTAGCAGCCTCTCCTCTGCCTCCCCTAGCCTTCCTCGGTGTGTCCAAGGCCCGCTTCCTGGGCTCTCCTGCCCTGCTCCCTGATGGGATGCTCCGGCAGTGACCGGGGCTGGTGTGGAAGTTAAGCCTGCTTCCTTCTCCCTCCTGGACCTTTCTGTCCTGAGCTAAGGCTCTTTTCCCCAGGAAGTGATGCATGCCTTGAGACAGACGTGGCACACCACCTGCTTTGTCTGTGCAGCCTGCAAGAAGCCCTTCGGGAACAGCCTCTTCCACATGGAAGACGGGGAGCCCTACTGTGAGAAAGGTAGGACCTCTGTGCTGTGGGGAGGCCCCACAGTCTGGGAGAAAGGGGTAGGAGTTCCCTTTCACACACGTTCAATCTGTGCTGTTTTCCCCGCACCAAATATGTGCGCCACAAGTCGGCATCTTGTGACCGCTTGGGAAACCTTTCAGATGATTTTGATTTGAAGACCACAAGGTCTTGTCTGAAAAGGCTTTGGCACCGGCCTTTGTCCTAGGTTCTGTTCCAGGCTCCGTTTCAGGCTGGCTTTGTAACCCTGATTGAGTTACTAAACTTCTCTGAGCCTCACTCTCCCCATCTGTAAGAGGGGGAGATCAACACCTGCCTCCCAGAGTTGTGGTGAGGATTAAACCAAAGAAACTTCGGAACTCGTCAAGTACATGCAGGTCCCCTCCCAGCTCCTGTGATGTTTACCAGACTTTGATGCTCCTTCAGAGTCCAGCCAACTCCCTGTCTGAATTCGGAGTTTCTCTGTTCTCCCCATACGCTATATGTTATCTTGTAACTTGGAGTCAATCACGGTAAATTCTGAAGACAAAGCCATCTGTTAGAGTTGGGCATCCTGGCTAACTAGCCATTCAGTCACTCACACATTCACACGCTCATTTATTCATAGCCTGCCTCTTTCAGATAAGGATTTGAGGCAGGTTCCAACAAAGGTAACAAAAACATGAAAGTTAAAACAGTAGAACTAGCAAAGCAGCACCAAGAAGAAGAGGGAAAAGGAAACATGCTGATTATGAAGAATCACAGAGCTGCACTGACTGGGTAGCAAATGTGAGAGCAAAAAGAGAAACACAGGAAGTTAGTTTACTTTAAAACCAGAAAGGAGAAAACATTCCAGTTCTTCAGGGGGAAAAGGAAAACAAAATAAAACTCTTTTTCCCCCTGACAATAAATTATAAAAGAAACTTCTTGGGTTCTGAGGTACTGGTGAATTCTCTTTCCAGCTCTGAGGCTCACCGAATGACTTTAAATAAGTCACTCAGTCATTCTGGACTCAGAGTTCATATCGGTAAAAGGGAGAAGATAACACCAGTCTTTTCCCTTCTTAGGAGGAAATGGTGATGATTGGTAATTAATGAAAGTGCTGTGGTACCAATACAAATTGCTATTGTTAGTCGACTAAAAGCATTATAACTTTCATAATGTGTGATAAGCCACAACTGATGCGTGAGGCTTGTGAAAGAATGATAGATTAACACTATTACCAGTGCTCCTCTCCCTAGCACCCCCCCTCAAAAAGATTTTCAAAAATGATGTTTTGATTAAGAAGACCCAGGAAAGGGATGGTCTACTGTTAAGAAAAGACAGCAAGGAAGCAGATTTAGCCTCAGCCTTAGGCACGCTGAGAGACCCTGACTGAAGGCCCGCAGGGGCCACTCCCAGGCTGTGTGACCATGGACAGGAGGCTTTTGCCCTTTCTGAGTCTCTCCTTCACTTAACTCTCAGAGGCTGTTGTGAGGATTAACTGAGATAATGGGTGCACAGCTCTGTAATGGTTCTCGGAGACCCACAGCTCTCCAAGAAGCACAGTTTGAAACCACTTCCTTAAGCAATGGGAGTCACTGTGATTTTTTAAGTAAAGAAATAACACAATTTAATTTTTATTTTAGAAAGAGCATTAGAAATTTAATATGCTTGTCGAATGTGATAAAGGGTGATATTCTTATAAACAAAGTAAAGAAAGGAGAGCTAGATGGTCCAACAGTGAGGTCAAGTCAAGCCTGTTGGTTAACCTGCCCTAGAGATAAAATATCAGAGTCAGCCCCTGTCCCCGTACCATGGGACACTGTGTTTGGTTCTGACCTTGTCTTTTTTTTTTTTTAATTATCGTGGGGGAAAAAATACACATATAAAATTTACCATCCTAACTGTTCTGTTTTTGTTTTTGTTTTTGGCTTTTCACTTTTTATTTTATATTGGAGTATCGCCGATTAACGATGTTGTGATAGTTTCTGGTGCATAGCAAAGGGACTCAGCCATACATATACATGTATCCATCCTAACCATTTTTAAGTGTACAGTACAGTAGTGTTAAGTATATTCACACTGTTGATTGATCTGAAACAGATCTCCAGAATTTTTTCATCTTGCAAGTATGAAGCTCTGTACCAATTAAACAACTCCCCTTTTCCCCTCTCCCTCCAGTCCCAAAGAAAATTATAAAGACCTAATAGGAGAAATAAAGGAAGGAATACATAAATGAGAAACTAGATTATTTTCCTGGTGGGAAAGGCCCATGCACAAACTTTATTTAATACCAATCACATTCCCCTTTTGTAGAATAAATGAGGAAAATACCAGCTTTTTAAAAAAATGTATTAGGGACCTTCCCTGGCAGTCCAGTGGTTAAGACTCTGCGCTTCCGATGCAGGGGGCGTGGCTTCAATCCCTGGTTGGGGAGCTAAGATCCCACAGGCCGTGGGGTGCGGCCAATAAATTAATTTTAAAAAATGTACTAGGGTCACACCTGTGATACCAAATTATAGAACAAAGTGGCAATTTTCCAGATAGTACAAAATCAAGTTTAAAACAAAAAAATTAATCAGTAGGCAGGACTAGACATTCCAGAAATAAATTCGAGCCATTGAAAGAGCTTAATCTGTGAAAAAACGTAGGCTGCACAACAGGAGAAGGGATCACTATTTAACAAGATTTTCTGAAACATCTCTTTGTTTGTTCACTCATCATTTATCCATCAAATGTGTGCCAGTTCCTGTGAAGGGTGCTAAGCATAGAGCAGAAGACTCTGCCCTGAAAAACCTCAAGCAGACCCATCAATGTCTGATATGCTGGCACATAAATGGACAGTTAAGGGATAATGAATAGATAGATGGATGAATGAATGAAGGAATGGGGAGGGAGAGAAGCCCAGGAGAAGCTCTCAGGAATGCTGTCTCATCTCTCTTGGGTGGGATGGGGATGAGGTCCTTCCAGAAGGAAGGCAGCCCAAAGGACTGCAGAGATTCAGGTAGACAAAGTGGGAAGGGTTTTCCAAGCCCAGGATCCAGTTCATACAGTGGCATGAAGATGGAGGAGAGAATCCAGGGCATCTGGAGACCAACTGGGCAGAATGAGAGAGAATTCAGAAGTGGGGTGCAGGGCTTGCCCTTGAGTGGAGTTGGGTTAGCCTATAGCCCTGCTTCTCACGCCACACTAGTAAGTTCCCACAGAGCACAGAGTGAACCATAAACCTGCCATAATTCTCTAAAGGAAGCAGAATGATGTTTTCCTAGCTCTGGTGAGGCAACAGATTTTTGCCCACTGAAGAAATGAAGTATTTTATCAGAAACAAGATTGATGGACTGTGATGTATATAAGAGCATTTGCGTGACCAACTATAATTAAACCCCGAAGGGGAAACCATACATTGGAAAAAAATATGCAAGAGATATAACTTACCTAAAAAGCTCCATGGCAAATAGATAACTGAATAACAGCCCCATGAGTTAGGTAGCATAGTTATTCCCATTATATAGATGAGAAAGTTGAGGCACTGAGAAGTTAGATGACTTGCCCCAGATTTGAACAATTCCTGGATAGAGATGGGATTTGAGCCCAGGTCTTTCTTTCTTCAGAACCTAAGTTCATAGCCCCCACTTCACGTTGACTCTCAGCAGGTGGTCTGAGACAGTGACTAGGCATACTGTCCACAAGGAGATCTGAGCGGAAAACCTCTGTAAGGAAAAGCCAACTGTGGCAGAGCTGTGGAGAGACAAGTACACTTCTAGGGGAATGAAGGCTTTGTAAAAGGCATCAAGGTTCTTCTAGAAGAATCTGGGAGAATTCTACAGTGAGTGCAATGGGAGTGCTGCCCACTACCAGGCCCGGAGAACTGGGGCTGAGAAGCACAGGCCTGGCCCGCTGTCTCACCTGTGTGGCTCTGGCTAGGCCCTTCACCTCTTCCAGCCTCATCCGCAAAACAGAACAAAAACAATTTCGCCAAGATTAAGTTTATTCATTAATTTATTGACTCAGTGATTCATCCATTCACTCATTCATTTGACATGTGTTGGGTACTGACTTGTGTGCCAGGCACTGTGCTGGGAGTACAAAGAAAACTAATACATAGGGCTTCCCTGGTGGCTCAGTGGTTGAGAGTCCGTCTGCCGATGCAGGGGACATGGGTTCGTGCCCCCATCCGGGAAGATCCCACATGCCGCGGAGCGGCTAGGCCCGTAAGCCATGGCCGCTGAGCCTGCGCATCCGGATCCTGTGCTCCGCAACGGGAGAGGCCACAACAGTGAGAGGCCCGCATACCGCAAAAAAAAAAAGAAAACTAATACATAGACCTTGACATTGAGATACTAGCAAATAATAAAATCTACGTGAGGATGCTTGGTAAACTGTAAAGCATTATGTAAAAAATGTTTGGTATTATTATCTCTTTGGCTGGGGGAGGGGAACATGTCCCAACAAAGTAGCTCAGGTATTGTTTCTAGTAGTGAAAATTTATTATCAACACAGATGCCCGATGACAGAAGAATGACCAAGCAAAGAACATGCTACAACTCTAAAAAATGTTAAAGTCTCTCACTCTTCCAAAATAAGCAGAGCTGCTGGGAAATAGGATTTTTTTTTTCTTTTTTGGGATTGGTCTGTTTGGACCGTAAGAGGTGACAGAGCAGAGGAGAAAATCACCCTGCAGAAAGTTGATGACAGTTCCAGAAAGTGTTTGCAGATCAAACCAGCACAGGGTGGTGACTAAGCCTGAATCTGCACCACACCAGTGCAAATTATTGGAAAAGGAAAAAACCAATCATGTAACTGAGTATTTTGTCTGCAAGATGTCAAGTAACCAATTAGGTTTCATCCACTGCCCCCAGCCCAGTGATTTGGGGGGTTGTTCTGACATTGGGTCGATGTGGCTGGGACACTCCTCCCAGCCTGCCTGGATGCCTGATCCTTACTCTGCCTTTCATTTCAGACTACATCAATCTGTTCAGCACGAAGTGTCACGGTTGCGATTTCCCCGTAGAGGCCGGTGACAAGTTTATCGAAGCCCTGGGGCATACTTGGCACGACACCTGCTTCATTTGCGCAGTATGTTTTTTGCATGGGATTCTGGCTTTCTGAGAAGAGGCAGGAGGGGCCAAGTGGGGCCAGATGACCAACCCTTTACATCCCTTTCAACCCTGGCATTCTAATATTCTGTCATTTTTAAAAGCCGGCAAATACCATGATGCCTTGATATGTCACAGCTGAGCAAAGTTTTATTACTAATAATGATTTATTAACCAATATGGCTTTGTTACTCTCCACTTCATTAAAGACAGAAGAGTGTCTTAGGATCTGGCAAACTAGCAGCTTTCCTCAGCAGCAATGCTCTCAATAGGTGGGAGGAGTGAATGATGTTGGGATTTAATAGGGGCAGGTGGCTTCCCACGGTTATAGGTCGTTTAAGATATGATGACGTGATTCAACGGTTTTCCCCTAAATTTTCACCATGAACACTAGATTGGAGCTTATTGACTAATCCTATGAAAAGCTGAGATAAGTTTTCTTTTGACTGAACCTTTAGAAATCAGGGCTGAGTATCATTTCATTTTCCTAAATGGTCCTGTTCTCGATATATAGTTGCCAGGAGATAAGCCCTAGATTAAGTATTAACCATGTGCAGTTGATTTCTGCTGAACAGCCAGGTCATTTTTACCGTGAGATTGACGTTTTCCTTCCAAGGGCTTTGGAAGGGAAGGGACAGGGCAATGAGCCTGCCGACATTTAGAGTCTGCATTTAGAATTAGAAAACAGTCGTCCCTGATAAAGCCCCGTAATGTGAGTCTATAATTGAGTAAATTTTATTTGGGAAAATCAGTGTACTACTACAGCTTTTTTTTTTTTTTTTTTTTTTTTACCAGAGCTGCTCAAGGTAAATTTTGGGAATGTGTGAAAGGTCTACATAGTTTCAACTTGAACAATTATTATAGACTTACGACATAGGACAACCATAGTCATAATGTTTACTGCAATTCACTTCAGCTTTTATGCTTCATTTCTATATCCCCTCCCATCTGTGGGGTGCATTGTATTCACTTCATATATTAGTTTGCTAGGGCGGCCGTGACAAAGTACCACAATCGAATAGCTTAAACAACAGAAGCTTACTCTCTCACAGTTCTGGGGGCTAGAAGTCCAAATTCAAGATGTCAGCAGGGACCTGCTGTCTCTCTCCTAGCTGCTGGTGGTTGCCAGCCATGCTTGGTGTTTCTTGAATTGTAGCTGCATAACTGCAAACTCTGCCTCCATTGTCACAAAGCTGCCTTCCCTCTGTGTGTCTGTGTCTTCGCATGACACTCTCCTCTGTGCGGGTGTCTGTCTCTGTCTCTTCCCTTCTTATAAGGACACTAGTCATATTGGATTAAGGGCCCACCATACTCCATATGTCGTCATCTTAACCTCAGTTTTAATTTAGTCTGCAAAGACCCTATTTCCAAATAAGGTCACTGCTATGTCCCTGTGCTGGATAGGCTGGAGGTACTCGGGACTGGGACTTTAACATGTGAATTTAGGGCGGCACAGTTCAAACCATAACACTTTTTCCAGCCCTTTGAACAGATTCTCTAATTGCCTTCTAGGGTCCTTAAACTATATCAGGACCTCCCCTCCAAAAAGGGACAACAATATAAATATACCGGCTTTGGGGTTGTCCCCTGAAGAGCCACAGCTCAGCGAGGCACCGTACAGGGCTTTCTGACCCTTACCTTCAAGCCATGGCTTGTCTGATCCTAAGATGCTGCCTGCAAATCTGGTTACCCCACTTCTAGAAAGATCTAAGAGACTTGGAGGAGGTCCAGGGAAGACAGAGGCGTAGAAGGCCTGTTCTCCAAAGGCAGGCTGATGAGAGGTCTGTGTCACATGGAGAGGGAATCATGCAAAGGTGAGCATGGGTCTGCTCCCTCAAGCTTGCCGTGTTTGGCTGAGTCATGATGGCACAAGTCCCAGAGAGAGACAAGAAGAAGCTGTAAAGCCTGGGGTTGTTCAGGCTGAGATTACAGATAAGTTCCAGTCAGGTGTGAAAGACCCACAGCACTGCCCAGAGGGTCTGCCCAAAGAAACCAGTCAGATCCCGTCCTCTGGAGAGTCAGCACAGAGAATCGTTATGCCTTCCCCCAAACTAGCCCTGCGTAGTACTCACTGCCCCATGAAGCTATATCAAAGTGGAATATGGTTTAATTTTTGGAAAGCAATATTTTGATTGGAAAACTTTCAGGGTTTTGTTTTCTTTGGTCCTTTTTCCATCACTTTGTATTTCCAAATCACTTTTAATGAGCATATATTTTCCTGTAACTTAAAAAAAAAAAAAACAACTAGTAAGAAAGGAAGATCAGGAGTAGCTCTTGCGTCTGACATACTGTTTTCCCATCAGTTAGATCTCAGGGGAGCACATACTTCAGACTAATTCAGTTGAGTTTTGGGAATACGAAAGTCTCCCAGAACAAGTCTCTACCTTCAAGGAATTTAGAATCTTGAAAGGAAAACAAAGCTGACATATATGAGCAATTAATGTACAGAACAAGACAACATCTCTAAAGTCCCAAGCACATAAAATGAAGGCTGAGAAGGACAGTGTGGGTCAGGGTGAGGGTTTACCTCCTGTCTGGCTTTGGCACTTGAGTTCTAATGGAAAGGATGTGAGTCCTACCTTAGTTGGGGAAAGATGTCTTACTGGCCCTTCTTCTCCTTTAAGTCTAGTTGGTATCTAGTTGGTGTGGGTACCAGGAAGGGATGTGATGTGGTGTAACTTTTGTGGGCAGTCGAGGGGCCTCTGCAGCTGGCCTATTTCATCGCCTTCCACTCTGTCGTCAGCACTCTATGGCCACCACTCCTTCCCAGCCAGGCCCTGCTGCCACTTGACCACAGAGCCTGGGGGTTGGACCATCTCTGCTGTGCCGCTGTGCTGGGTAGGTTGGAGGCCTCCTCCACCATGGAGCCCCCTTGCATCCCACCTGCAGGCTCCTGGCCCAAGGCACTGAGTACGACCTCTCTGACAGTTCTTTCCCTCAGTCTCATCTTATCAGTGAGCCACCTCTGAGGCTCTGGCCTTTCCTCACTCCTTGGTCCTCAGTCTCCCAACACCCTCTCCAGCCTGACTCATCCAGAGTTTTCACAAGCAACCAGCACTGTCTCAGACCAGGCAGGGTCTCCTAGCCAGAGCCCCGGCTGTTGACCAGCAGCTCCTTGCCAACTCATTCCAGAGCTGCCTTTCTGTCTCTCCCAAAACCCATCCTCACCAGCTGGATCTTGGGTGCCACCATCTTAGACTTGTCTCCAAGCTGTCACCACAGCTTGAGGCCACCACAGGAGCCTGGTTACACTCAGTATCACTGCATCTACCTGGGATGTTTTGAGACACTTTCTCAGGTCATTGGCTTCCAGAGCCCATTGGCAGCCCTGTGTGATCTCAGGTATAACATCCTCAACTGGGCCATCAGGGCCTCACTCTTGGGACCGCCATGATGCCACTTTTCTTTCCAGCTTTCTTGGAGCAGACACATGCTCAGTGGGCCAAGCTCATCTCGGAAGGGTGATTTCTTATCCTCATGCTTACCTGTACCTGGGAATTCCACCTGCACTTCCTCTCATGTCAGTGTCCCGGATGTGGTCCCCAATTCTGCTCCCCACTGGGGATCTTCAGTGCCCTCTCTGAGGCTAGGGCCTGTCCCAGCCTATGTGACTTCCCAGCTGACTGGCAATTGGCAGATTGCCCACCCAGGACCAGACCTCATACTGGTAGTCCAGCAAGCTTAGTGAACTACCTCGATACAAGTCCGTAAACCCAGAACAATTTCAAGTAAACACCTCCTCTCTGCTATGAGGTGTGGGGAGAATGAGCTTAGAACTGGAGTCTCGCAGACCTGAATATGGATGTCCAGGTTCTACAACTTTCTAGGTCTGTGACTTGAGCAAGACCCTTGGGCTCTTTGAGCCTCAGCTTTCAACTGTGAAATGGGGAACAGTCATACCTATCCCATAAAGTTTTTGTGGGAATTAAAGGAGACCATGTAGGGACCTCCCTGGCGGCACAGTGGTTAAGAATCAGCCTGCCAATGCAAGGGACACGGGTTCGATCCCTGGTCCGGGAAGGTCCCACATGCTGTGGGGTGACTGGACCTGTGTGCCACAACTACTGAGCCTGTGCTATAGAGCCCACTTGCCACAACTTCTGAGCCCTCATGCTACAACTACAGAAGCTCGTGCACCTAGAGCCCGTGCTCTGCAACAAAAAGAAGCCACCGCAATGAGAAGCCCGTGCACCACCACGAAGAGTAGCCCCTGCTCACTGCAACTAGAGAAAGCCCGCATGCAGCAACGAAGACCCAACACAGTCAAAACTAAAATAAGATAAAACAAAAAAAATGAGACCATGTATACAGTGTCTGGCATCGTACTTGACCTGCAGTAGTCTCAACAAATATTACTGATCTCCCTTCTTTTTGTTTTGTCAGCATCTTCAAACTGCACTCATATGTTGTCATCACGGGGATGTATAATTTTGCCTCTTTCTTTTTTCAGTCAGTGTTTTCCTGCATACACTTTGCCATATTTGATTTATTTTTTCGTGGTGGCCTGTCATTGGAAAAATGCACCATAAAAATTAACTTAATCATCTCCCCATTGAGAGAAATATTAGTAGTTTTTCAGTTTGCAGTTGAGCATATGTTGCTTTCCTGTTCTGTGCAATAGTTGCTGCAAGATGAAGTTCTCCAGAGTGGTGTTACTGGGGTACAGGGCAGGGACATCTTCATGGCTTCTCTTCAGTGTTGCCACATCCCCTGCAGAAGGCTGCGCTGATTCATGTGTCCCTAGCAGTGACAAGTAGGCCTGATCCCCTTTTGGCATTGCTGACTTTTGACTGATTACTTTTTTTTTTCATTTTCTGGCTCCAGTCATATAAGGTTAAAGGTGACAAGCTATTGAGGCTTTTTGTTTTATTTATTTTGCTAGATTAACAGGTGTCTAGTGATATCTCATGGAGGTTTTAATTAATTTTTCCTTTAATTATTAGTGAGGATCCTTTTTCTGACATTTTATATTTCTTTAGGTGTTAATCACTTCTGTGGATATTGACTTACGAATTTGTATTGGTTCCTTATAAATTTTGGATAGCATCAGTTGATCACCTTATTGTGTATATGTTCCGTATTCCATTAATTTAATTTAATTTAACTTGAGTTTATTGCATGTTCCTCTTTGGAAGTCTTGACTTTTAGATAGCTCAACGCATCTACACTGCTTTAGCTGTCAAGCACTTGTGGGTAGGGAGAAGCAGGCTGTTGCCTTTTCTCCCCTCTGCCTGTGACAGCACTTTGTCTTAAAGCGGTGGCTGAAATCTTTTGTTTGTGTCCCCCTGCCTCATGGGCTGTCTCATGCCTATCTGTTCTCTGTCCCAGGTCTGCCACGTGAATCTGGAGGGGCAGCCATTCTACTCCAAGAAGGACAAACCCTTGTGCAAGAAGCATGCACACGCCATCAACGTGTAGTGAGCCCAGGGTGTCTGCTGGCAATGAAGGATTCAAGGAGGCTGATGTTTCTTTTTGGGGGGAAAAGGGAGAAGACAGGAAGTGACTGAGCCCTTTTGAAGTATAATTTTAGTCCTTTCTTCTGCACACAGATTGTGTATTTGCATAGTTCAGACTAGAAGCCAAATGAAGATTCCTGAACCAAGCTAGTAATTAATCCAAGACTGGAATTGTACTCCAAACACTGAGGACAGAATTCCAAGAACTCAAAAGTGAAAAAGAAAAAGTAACTTTCCCCACACGATACACTTCCCTGAGGTCACCAGAGCAGGGACAGAGCTCAGAGCAGTTATGGAGAATCTGCAGCCTTCTGCGGAGTTCTTTAGAGCTCCTCCAGCAAACAAAATGAAGTGCCAAACAGCCCTCGCTGCAGGGTATTTTTAGAGCCATAGCTGAGCGCTTGTTAGCTAAGACCGATTGGGCTTTCCTCACCAAAAAAGGAAGTGTTATTCCATTACTCGCGTCATGGAGCTACCTCTGCGCATCAGACTTCAGACCCTGCACAGGCTTGAACATTCTCAAGGGAGCCCAGACATCGGAGGGATGTCTTCTGGGAGCCTCTGGGCAATCGACAGGGCTTCAGGAAAGGGTCGGGCTCACACCACAGACAGCTGAAGAAAGAAGGGCTCTTCAGCTACCCTCTTTCAGTCTGAAACATCCAATGTCCCCAGAACGCTTAGCTTCTTTTTGAGTTGTGGTGGGAAGGTGGAATTGGGTTTTTCCAGTTTTGCTTTGCTGTTTGTGAGAGGAGATTTTTAAAACGACTCTGGGCTGTGTTTGGCCTCTGTTTGGCTTTACGAGGTTCATTAGCATGAACGTCTAGTCTTGTGCATGTGTTTCATTCCCAATACTATGACTGCTCACTGCTGAAGTCTTCCTCAGTGCCCCTCCCCCCACCGGGCTTAGTGACCTGTGGAAAAGAAGAGAGAGACAGTGTCTGAAACAGGATGGCAGAAGAGGCTGAGAACATGCCCAAACCCTGGGTGGGGAAGGGGAACCTTCCCTTCTGCCAACCTCAGTAAGAACGCGCGAGCTGGCAGGACCTCCCACTTCAGAGCTGCTCCATCCTTCTCGTATCTTCCTTTAAACGCAGTACACTGATTATATACAATTGTGTTGACTGCTGGAAGGGAAAGATGATATATGATATATACACGTTTGCCATTTTGGCCAATATTTTGAAAAAGTATGAGCTGAGTTGATCTAGCAATTATATAAGCATTTATTGAAATAGACTTGGGTCTTCAAACTTCCTTAAAGTATTAGTGATAGTTTGAGTTAAGCAAGCATTTTAAAGCTGTTTGGTGATAAAGAGAGAAGCTTAGTTTTTGAGGTTGGAAGTGGTATAGTCTCTTTC